TCTTACCATCTATTCGAAGAAAAACATGTCATTCTTGAGGATCTTCATCTCGATTGTATTGTCTTGAAGGTTGTGACAATGATAATATCTCATCCAATAGATCAGCAAACAAAAGTTCTTCAGCAAAATCTATTAGTTGTTAGTTCTCTATCTCTTTAGCATCACAAATACAAAGCTACAAATAAGGATTGAAAGTAGAATATTATCTTACTTAGATCTTGTTTCTTTTATAGGGAAGATCTTCATTTTGATTTTGATGGATGACATCGAAGAAAAGCTTCCACCTTCTTTACTATATTTGTAAGATTTTTTACTAGCTCCTATGTGCGTTTACTAATATTGCATCTATGCCAATGAAGAAGATATTTCAACTTATTTTGGCTTCGCCTTGGTCTAAAACTTCTTCCACTTCAAATTCTTCATTGTTATCCACTTTTATAAGAGGAGGTGGCACTTATCTTCTTCTTGATATATTAACTATCTTATATAGTTAAAGAAGAGACACATGGAATACTGGATGGATTTTCATTGACTTTGATAGATGTAAATGATATGCAATTGGATTAATTTGTGCAAAAGTAAGAAATGGTCTAAGTCTATGATAGTCCAACTTATTACAAGGACATGTAGTTTTGATATTGTGATGAAGTAACAATACCTTGTCATCCACGTGAAATGGTGATTGTTCCTTTTGATAGACATCTTCATTGATCTTTTGTTGTTCTCGAGCTTCTTTTAACAGTGCCTTCATTATTGTATATAGCTCTAACAAATAATTTATCAAATCTTTTGCCACATGATTATAAACTTTTGAAAAGTCAAAAGTATCAAGTTATAGATAATAACCATAATTGGCAAAAAAAGGTATTTATTTTATAGAAGAATGTACCGTATTATTATAAGCAAACTTTGCCAATGGCAAAAGAGTTGTCCAATCATCTTTTTGGTAGTTGATGGTATATCTTAAATACTATTCCAAAACTTAATTAACACGCTTTTGTTTGTCTATTGATTTGAGGATGGAATGTCGAAGATAATTTTATATCTACTTTTAGAATCTTAAAAAGATTCTTCCAAAATCATGATACAAATTGAGTTCTCCTATATGATATGATATCCTTGAATAATCCATGATAAAGATAGATATTGTTAAAAAAGAGTTTGGCTATTTCTTCATATATGATAGATTTTGTACATGGTACAAAATATACCATCTTAGTAAAACGATCTACTATCGTAAATATAGAGTCATAAGAACTTGAGATTATAAGATCTGTGATGAAATCCATAGAAATAGAAGGCCATAATTGTTCTCGAATGGGTAATGGTTGAAGAAATCTGTAAGGTCGATGATGGAGAGTTTTTGATCTGGAACAAACATTGTATGAGTGAATAAAATCTTTTACACCCTTTCACATTTTTAGACACCAAAAATCTCTGGATATAAGCTCTAAAGTCTTGTTGTATCTAAAATATTCTACTACTGGAAATTGGAGACGTGCTTGAGTAATACGTAATCATGCTTCTCCTTTTAGAGTATATAATTGACCTTTGGAATAAACTAGATTATTTTTGAAATCAAACTTAGAGGTATCTTGAGACTTAGAAGAAGAATTCTTCATATTGTGAACAAGAGGATTAGCAGACATACTTGATTGGATTTGTTTCACAAAGGTGGAATCAACAGTCAATGCTGATTTCATTACTTGAAGATGAAAATGCTCTAGTTTCAAGAAAATGATTCTTTGTTGATCAAAAGATGCATCTCCTTCTTTTGGTACAACATAAAAACATCTAAAATGGATGTTTGACAAACCTTGTCTTTTGGATCGATATGTGATCTTGATAAAGATATGCTCCAATGGGCTTGGCGATGATTTAAAACACGTACTGACATGAAGTACTCGAGATTCTTATGGTCTGTATAGATGGTGATTGAACTAGAAGTGCCTTCTAAATAATGACAGCATTCTTGAAATGAATCCACAATTGCAAGAAGCTTTGTGTCATGGATTTTATAGTTGATCTCGGCTCCTAAAAAGTTTTTGGAATGAAAAGCTACGAAGTGAAATTTATCATCGATTCCTATTTGTGACAATACATCACGCAAAGCAAAGCCTAATGCGTTTGTTTCCATAAAAAATACCTTAGAAAATTTGACATGATACAAAATTGGTACAAGATTGGTATCTTGTTTAATCCTCAATAATCAACACACATCTGCAATGATCCATCTTTCTTCTTCAAAAATAAGATTAGAGCTCCTATTGGCGATTTGGAATGGTGTCTAAAATTTTGGCCGGATTTTCTTCTATATATTTTTTGAGTTTAGTCAATTCATTTTGTGATAAACTATAGATTGATCCAAATGGTGGTTGTACTCCTTCTTGAAGGTCGATTGAGTAGTCATAGGAATAATGTTCTAGAAGAGTATCTGTATTCTTTTTCTCAAATATATCTTAAAACTCATGATATTGGCTTGAAATGCCACTTGAAGTCTTTGCATCATTAGGAATATGTGTAGCGTAAATGACACAAGGTGATCTCTCTTTTACAGCATGCAAGAAAGCTCTTGCACCTACAAACACAGGTTTTATTGTGTTAGACTTATAACTTTCTACTAAATTAATTTCACTCTTAGTTATACTTTTAAAGAAGTGAAGAGCATGAGAAATCCAATCTATGTAAGGATTATACTATTCTAACCATGATAAACCTAAAATGACTGGATTAGAAGGAGATCTAATTATATTAAAGAATATGCAAGTACTATGACTATTTATTGCTATATCTATAAAAAGTGTTTTATGAAGAACATTTATAAATTCTTTCAATTTATACTTTTTTATATATTTTCAAAATCTATAATTTTTATTATGATTTTTAAATCTATATATAAGGCTCTAATATGCTAAATTTTATTTATATTTTAGGAATAATAAATTAATTTTAAATTTTATAATAAACAAAAAGAGAAGTTTATATTTAATATATAAAATAAATATAATTAATTTCTTAAATTAAGTATAAATAAAAATATTTAATAGTAATTAAAATATATCATAATAAAATTTTATAAAAATAATTTTGAACTAGCTTTCAATTAGATTATATAATATAAATAAGATACTTAAAAAAACTATGTAAGCAAGAGAAATACAATCATCTTCTATTAACTTATGCTATTTGCTCAAAAGATTTTTTCCTTCAAATAACTATTAATATTTTCTTATTGTTTTATATTTGTAATCGTCCCTTAATAACAACTATTAAGATGAAATAAGCAATTTACTTAAGAACAAAAATAATGATAGATTAGAGAAGAAGGTATAGGTAGGAGCTTAAGACATCAAGTAATGAATTATCCAATAAAAAATTTACAATCCATAAACTATCTATTTCTTTAAACAACTTGTTACAAGAGTTACTATGAGATTTGAATAAAGAATTTTATATTAGTCAATACAAATAATGCAAAACTATTTGAATTGGAAATAAAGAAAAAGTATGGCCAATTCCAAAGCACCAAAATATTTATTAATCAAGCATTAGAGATGAGAGATTATAGAAGATAATAGATTATTGTATTTAGAGTGAATAGCGAACAAAATAGAATCCTAAAATAGAAAGGTAGTTGAGTAATAGATAAAGAGTAATTGAGGGAGATTTTTAAAGATACCATGGTTAAATGCACAAGGAAGTTAGCATTGGAAATCAAGTTGTAGTAGCTTAATCCTCACAACCCTCTCAACTCTTAAAATGACGTTGTTGTATTATGTGAAAATCAAGTTAAAAATATACTAGGCATTTTATTGTAAAAAGCTTTGATCTTACCTTAAAGTTAGATTTACAATCTAAAAAATAATGTATAAGATATTTAAAAACATCTTATTGGTAATATTAAAAAATTTTAAAAATCTTATCACATTCTATTTAACTTCAAATAAATCCTAAAGAATTCTTTAAAATCCCTAATTAAACTGTAAAGAAATCACAAAAAAACCTTAAAGAAATCTCAAAAATATCTTAAAGAAATTCTAGATAAATTATAATTGAAGCCTTATGAAATTCTAATATAATCCTAATCAAAATATAATTGAATCTTCATCAAATTCATAATCAAATTTCAACCAAATTCTAACCAAATCTTTAATAAATCCTAAAAAATCCTACAATAGATTTTAATTTTTAATAATTTTCTATTTAATTGTTGATCTTTATTCAAAACCTCTACACTTCTCAATTTACTAGTTAAAAACAAGAATAAAAAAATCAAAAAAGAATCAAACTTACCAATTGAGAGAAAATACTCTTGAGCCACTTAGGTGTTTGCCATCAAGACAGTGTACCACAAACCATCAAACTTTGCCCATTCTTTGGTGGTGAGACTATTTGAAACCATGCACTTAAGGAGTGAGGTTTATTACTATCCCAATTTTTGTGTAAAAGATCTTCAACAAAGCCTTATTCTTTAAAGCTTGTTTGTTAATGCTTCTATGGAACTTTCTTTTGAAAGTTTTCAGAAAAATGCTCTAATACCATATTGGAACTTGTATGTAAAAGTTTAAGATAAATGTCAAGTTCAGTAATGAGTAATAAACATTCTTAATAATAATTGTGGGTTAATACCTGTGGTTTATACTGACAAGAAGGGTGCATCCATGAGGGTTGCACCCCTTGTACAGGGTGTGACTCTTTGATATTGGCACAATCTGTTTATGTGACGTGTTTTCTAATAGACCAGCTGCAAATCATTTGACCAGAATTGATCCAGTTTAAAACTGTGGTTCACCAGTAAGAATGTAGCAATCCGGCATTCGCTTTCCCAGCAAGTGCGAGTTTCCGATGTCAGAAAAAGATAAGAGGCGCTATTGGAGCGAGCATTTCGACCTTACGAACCGATGTCTCCTCACCAATTGCACTCGCTTCCAAAAGTGAGTTGCCTCCACTCACGAGCGAGCTTGTATCCTAGCAAATCATTGGCCCAGGTTCGGATCACGCCCTATCCGCACAAGTTACCGATCTTTCTTACTTGTCTCCCCCTCTCTCCGTTGTTGGCTTGGAATATCAGCATCAAGCAGCTGTTTGAAGCGCGTGGGCGATCGTCGTAGCTGCGAGCTTGACACGAGAGGTGTGACCTTCCTTCGCGAACCTCGTCCGGTCGTCGCCATGGCCGCCGTCGCTTGCACCTCTTGCGCCTCCCCCGCGACCTGCCTTGTGCAGAAGTCACTTGGGACCTCCTCCAGCCACCGCGCTGCTGCCAGGCCTGTCGCCGGTAAGTTCATCTGCGATCTGAAACTCGATTCGGTTTTGGGAAGCATGGGCTGGGTTGTTACGGGATGCGGAGTGCCAGTACTCAATCTAGGATGTGCGTGGGAATGGGAGAGAGGGGATCGTTTTCGTCGCTGATTGGACTGAGTGATGCGTCGCACCCAGGTGTCCCTGTGCTTGCCATGCCCAGGATCGTGTGCTCATTGGAGAAGAAGGAATCCAACAAGGGTGACGTCAATGGTCTCCCCCAACTCGCTGCCGCCGTGACCTCCGCAGCTACCATGGCCTACGCCCACCCAGTGTTTGCACTCGTGGACGAGAGGTTGAGCACCGAGGGGACGGGCCTGGGTCTGGGCGTGAGCAACCCGAAGCTGACTTGGATTTTGGTGGGCGTCACCGCGCTGGTGTGGGCAGTGTACTTCACATACTCGTCAACCTTGCCGGAGGGTGACGATGACTCGGGTTTGTCGTTGTAAATTGTAGGAATCGCTGCGTCCCCTGCCGCTGGGCGAAGCTACGGCTGGTAGCGTTTTAATGTGTATCAATTAGTCGAACATCCAACATGAAATTTGAGCAGAAGCTGTGTTTGTGTGCTGGTGTATCGATTTGTGCCGATGATGGGTAAACGGGACAGTGTACTTCGAGTGAGGCGGCGTGCTGACTGCGATGTGGATAGGGAGGTGTCTCTGGACTTGCTTGGCGAGATCCTTGCAGGCTCCTGGGAACGTGCAGAAGCACGGATACTGCATGGACCTGTGAGTGCCGAAGAGAACTTGACCCGCATGTTCGAGATGGTCATGTTGTTTGGTCATTCGACAAAAAAGAATATATATATATATATATATATATTTACATATATTGACACATGTATAAATGTTAAACCGGAATGAGGATTGACGAGTGAAGTGGTGACCGGTAACCCGTGATCGAAGATGGCAATGTCGGGACCGAAACATTTGTGATGGCGAGAATCGGAGAACGGGATCGGAATCATAATTATAGTTTCATGTCCAACCGCAAGATACTCGAGGAAATGTAATTAATACGTGGAATGTAACACTTGATGTATGCAATATCGCAAGCTCACAGTTAGCAAGGCATCGTCACTCATGTTTGGCCCTCGGATTGCAAGTAATCACGAGGTACGTTCCCACATGCAGCTCACAGATATGGAATATCCTGTGCGTCAACTCCGGATGAGGATCTTCAGCATGAAATTAAGAACTACCCCCTGTCCTCTCAAATCTCTGCAACATGCCCGCATGAGTTCCCCATGGAATATTAACTTCCTCCACAACGACGATACACCAATCCGAGCATTGAAATACACTCGTAGAGTGAATTTTCAGCGTTAATCGATAATCGAACAGGATGCCACAGAGCGGCGGTGGATAGTAGAACTTGCATCCGATGGGTGAAGACGAATCGAACAGTAACAAAACAACCCATTATCACGGACATACTGAGACACAAACCTCGTCAATGGTATCTGACACTGCGATAATGAAAGGAGGCACAGTAGCGAGTTAAAATTGGCTCAAACTGTACAACACATTTACAGTATACTGCTACGCTATAACTCGAAGGGCAACTCTCCGGAGCAATGGCCGTGGCTGGAGACTCATTCCACTTGTAATTTATTCGATGCAGATCGTCGCGCATCAGAATGGTTTGGCACAATTCCGTGTGACATATTCGATTGCGGGATCGGCTTTACCGCTGACTGCAATACCCTTCACACTGCGGAGACACTTTACGTTTTCCGTACACACTGTCGCACAATCCTTTTCGTGGAGCCTCGGGGGAGCGTCTCCAGCGCCATCCTGCTCTTGCATTTGTTCCAGCACGTGAATTTGCGTTCCGATTCGCAGACACGTCGGCTTCTGAATGTATTTGATACTTGTTCACTCTTCACGCGTCCCCTATGCTGCTCCCTCGCACAAATCACCGTGTATTTGGGCCGGCAAGTAGGTTGAAAGCCACCCTACCTGCCATGTCTGCGGGAAGCATGAAAGCGTTGCACTTGGCCCAGAGAGGAAGCTGCACAAACCGCCATGTTAAAATCGAATTAGATTCCAGAACTTGTGTCAAGCTGGAGAGACGGTTTCTGACAATCAAATATAACCTCATCGTCTGGAGTCCGCGGGGAGTCCGCGGGGAACTAGTGAATCACCTCGTGGAAACACATGAATAATGGGCCCAGACATTGAACCATGTCGGATCCCAGGCGCTTGCAAATTTGGGACAATTCATTCGCAGTCAGATTTCTGTCGTGTCCATAGCCAGTCTGCACAACCACAGAATCGGTCCCTTCAGATCGGAGTGTCGAGAAGGCAGCCAAACGGGAGCAAGAATCGCCTACTTAACCATCGAAATCGAGGAATCGATGTCCAAGCGAACCAGGGATGATACCTGAAGGATCAGCATGAGCTCAGTGAGCTCATGATCGAAACTGCTGTGGAACGGCAACGAAGTTAACTTGAGCATTCTCCGGACCTGCTCCAGGTCGTCCTCAGCGATGGTTGACATCGCTGGTATGGATATGGGAGGAGGTGCAGGTGATGCAGCTGCCACTGCTGCGGATATCCGAACAAGTGCCGCCAAGCCCTTGCCCATCTGATTGAGCACTTTCTCGCGCATGGTATCGTTCTGCGAGCATTGCAATGCAACTCGATGGGTGTTAGAATCTGAGGAGAATCGCGCTTCATCGACCAAACTGCAGTGAGGATGGCAATTGGAAATCTGGTGCAACTTGAGGTCATCTGGAACTGATGATTTTTACCTCCTCGCCCAGGCAGTGTTGCAAAGTATCCTTCATAATTGCTGTTACGGCCTCCTCGACACTCGAGCAGTTACCGTAGTCGTCCTGGCTTGCTCTACAACATATCGTTGCCTGCAAAAGCAGCCCCCGCAAAAGCATGGGCACCCACGCGTTAGGAAGCGCTCATTTATGCTTGGGAGAGTAATTCGTCAGGCCAGGACATTTTGAATTTCCAACAATATTAGCTGTACATAGAAACTTAAGAATTAACTTGTCATGATATCAGTACTTCGATGCCATTGTCGGAAACAACCGAGCGCACCGTGGGCCTCTTACATTGCGAGATTTTGTCGTCGTGGTTATGATTTTCACTGTTGTTCCTCGGAGAACACGGGACGCGAGCTGAGCAGTTCTCAGAGATGTTGAAGCACTGGTGATGATTCTTGATGCAGAGATTTTTCGTGAATCAGTGCGATCCCTCCCAACTTTATCGCTGGATTGGGAATCGAGCAGCCTGCATTGATTAATCGATGCGGTTGCAGCCATTGTGTCGATTTTGACAGTGAGGGTCATGATGATGACTTTAAGTAAGGTACACTACAGTACCCTCAGCTCAATTGCAAGATCGAATTATTGAGGATTTACTGCTGCGGCCAATGGCCTCGATCGGATTTAGAGCTGAGCGAATGACGCAGATAGTATAGATCTACAGCAGGAACAATTTACCGCTCACTACAATTAGCTAAGCATGTGTGTTTCCTGGGTCTGCCAAAAAAATTGAGAACTCCGGAGACCGCTCAACTAGCATTCACGTCAGATAGTGGGAGTCTACTGAAAGAATCCCTTTGAAAGATAAACGAAACTAACTTCAGCATTTGTCGTCATGAATTGCCTCCCAAGCACGTACTAACTGAACATGCCGTCGTCACTTACTCACAAGTGCTGATATGTGGTTGTACTTATAAGCTCAGGGAACTCCAAATAGGACGGAGCGTCGGTCTAAAATAAAAAGCTGCGTTGACATCCAATTTCTTTGGATTCATTTCTGTGATCCCAGTGGCGAGTCTGCGTGAATTCGAATCCGGTCTAGTCCGATGGAGTGGAAAGTTCCGAATCTCGTGGTACCGACCCTACTGGCTCGGAGGTTAGGCGTCAAAGGCTTTTCATCGCCGCAAAGATTCGGAAGGTCGAGCCAAATGTTGATTTTGCGCAGCCAGAATGACAGTCTTCCAGCTTCGGCACGACATTCGGCGGGCCTATTGGTAACCCCTGGCAAGCAACTGCCGCTGACGAGGGCTAGGTCCTAGACGGACGTGGAAACACTAGAACGAATGCAATGGAAGGACGCGGAGAAGGGATTCCTCTTCGAAAGTCGTTGAGCTGCATTTGTGAACAATCACGAGGTGCGGATTGGACGATTCCGAGCTGGCACTTATTTTCGCATGTGACGCAAAGTATCGACGAGTTTACTACAGTTTTTATTCCAATCATTCAACCAATCATATATCCATTTGGGTAATCATTCCATTGGTTTTTATGTTTTATATGCAGTGGTTATGAGCAACTCTGCATTTTTTGAAAATACTACATCGTAATGTTATCCCCCTTGATGAATCCTTTCGGTGAAGCAGAAGTTGTAAGCAAATCCTACAGTTTAGTTAAATGAAAGTTACAGTAATGGTTCAGACGGTAACACTGCAGAATGCTTCTGTCGGCAAGTTGTTAAACAACACCTTCGAGAGGAACTAGATTTGAAAACATGAGGGCAACCGCTTCAATTCCTCTAGCATGACATCCGTACAGAAACTACTTTTGGCGGATAGAAATGTAGTTTTGCCACTTTCGGTGGGAATCACACCTGCATCCACCCTTGTTTCCTTTTTATATTGCTGTGGACTTCATTTTTCGTGTGCATGAAACGTTACTGCAGCTAGTCATGATTGTGCACATGGATGGAAAGTGGTAAAGATCATTTTCACAATCGAATCGTTGGTTGAAGTTATGGAAGCGTCTGTTTGCTTTAGATGAGAAGAATTCAGTGCAGTAAGCTGAACAGTTTGATGTGTCGTGATGTTGCCTTCCTGACATATTTATTTTATCACTTATTTTGGTCATTTGTTATTTCTTTTTAATACAAAAGGGAGTTTGCCTGCAATGTTGGACTAATTACAGAGAGAAAAGGGGTATTGCCACCCTAATTGAAGGGCAAGACTTAAGGGTCTTTGTAATCTACCTGACAACTAAGCATTGTTTATTAGCTAATTGTATCTTCATATTCTACAATATCACATGAAGGAATATGTGTAGGCCACTTATTCTCATATCACTCTTTATTCATTTTTTTATATGTTCTTAGCCGTCCAAATGTTATCCTGGCATTTAATGAGGACGCCACAATTGTCCAGTTATTTGCCAATTTTTTCTCTTGTGAATTTTCACATTATTTTATGGTAATCTAGTAAGTGATCTCATATTTTGCTTTTGATCTGTGTGTCTTTTCACCATAAATTATCAAAAATAATTAAAGTACATTGAATCCAAATTGGCCGAATCCATATTCCTTGGAGAGAGCCCATATAGTGCCATAACATTTAAACTTCGACTATCATCTGTTGTTTCAGAAGAATAAGTCCTTTTGAAAGCACCAAAAACTTTTTGTGTTGACATGTTGGATATGAAGTACTTCATACAATTTGTTTTGGATGTAATAAAAAAAATATCAATAATCATATCCAAAGTTTGTGTTTATATAATTACGTTTTTACTGAGAAAAAAGAAAAAGAAAAAGAAAAATTTCATGTTCCTTGCATATTCAACAATTATAATTTTAGGTGTTACTGTAAATATATTTTTTAATGGGTTGAACCAATAGAAGTTTCATTATATTTTAAATTTCGAAATGACAAATCTATTACTTTTTTGAAACACATAAACATATATATATATATATATATATACACATATATAGACACACACATATAATTTTTATTCAAATTATAAAATATAATACTTTTGACATCCACACCTATTGTATTAACATATGCTATAATTTTATTTTAGAAAATCCATGCTAATAATATCATCCAATGACTTCCACTGATAGGTGTAAATTTGAGTACAAGCATTTTCAACTCATTGTCAAGAAGTTTGGTGTGTATCTAAGAAAGCACATAGGACTTTGAAGGTAGAAGAATATGATACTTTTATGTGATAATATATATATATATATATATATATAAACTTGTACTTGAACTTAGCAATTCCTAGCATGCTGACAAATATGTCATGGTTTTGGTTCCAGGAAACTACACAGGAAATTACATAGAAACTACCGAAATGTCAAACCAGATGGAATTAAAGCTTCGGGCTGCTGCAAAGGGTTGCAGACATATGTATTATAATAAATAAATAATATATAATAAATAATTTACCCTTACGACATAGCAGTTTTCTCCTCTGAAGAGATAAATACAAAAAGAAACTTTAACAAAAAGATTAAAAAAATACTAAATACTAAAAATTAAACAACTAAAACTTTCTGTTGGCTCTCTAAAAACGGCTGCTTTGTGGCAGAGAATGATAGGGTACCCATCATCATAGCATATCCCCTCCCATATCATCGGTGCTTCTAAGGGACTGCCTTTTGAGCCCTTATGGCCATAGTTGAAAAAACAAAAAGCTTTTTTTCATTGTAGGTAGGAAGTAGGGAATGGAGGCACACTGGGCACACTTACACACATAGACAAATACACATGTTCATCCTGATCTTGCCTATTCACATGTTTAAAATATCTTTTCTTTTCTTTTCTTTTTGTCTAATTTTATTATTTTCTAATGTATCAGTAAATAGAGAACCCATTGATTGTAATGATCATTGGATACAATTGATTGTCCAATGATCTTACAATCAATTGGTCCTCTATTTATGCCTCTTTTTTGGCAGGCTCTAATTTTTAAACACCAATGATACAAAAGTAACCAATAAATTTCTTGGATAATATAATCTTTTAAAATAAACTTTTAAAATAACATAAATATATTTTCTTTTTTTTTACTCTTTGGTTGTTAAACATGTCACTTTACTTGTAACATCTATAACACATTTTTCTTTAAAATATTTTTTTATATTGACATTTCCTTACATTGATATAATAGGTGCATTGCTGTCTCTCTAAAAGTATTGAGATTATATAATAAATTCCAGAATTTAAAATTAAGAAGTTCGATGCCTCTATATATTTATATAAAATATTTTTTAAAAGAAAATAAGAAAACTATATTAGAAATTATATCATAAGTTAAATGAATAAATATACATATATATATATATACATATAAATATATATATACATATAAATATATATATATATACATAAATATATATATATATATATACATAAATATATATATACATATAAATATATATATATACATATAAATATATATATATACATATAAATATATATATATATACATATAAATATATATACATACATATAAATATATATACATATAAATATATATATATATACATAAATATATATATATACATATAAATATATATATATACATATAAATATATATATATACATATAAATATATATATATATATATATATACATATAAATATATATATATACATATAAATATATATATATATATATATATATCTATTTAAAAGGAGGAATAAATTTATTTAACAACAAGACTGAAAAGAACAGATTAAAACAAAGAAAATTCTAGATTTATTTATTTATTTATTTATTTTTATTAATAACATTATAATGCATCTCAACTTGACTGTTGGTATATTTCTTTTTTATATTTATTTTGATTTTTTACATAAACACCCTTTAAGATATGTATTTATATGGTTTTTAAGATCTTTTATAAGAGAAAGTTACATTATTCTAAAAAGATTCTGACTTAGTTCTCCTAACTTTTGGTGGACAAGTACATAGTATAAAATCATTAAAAATGACTAAAAATAATTTCTACGATTATAAGAGATTATTAAAGGTTCTAAAATATGTTAAATTTACACAATTGTAAAAGTTATCTTTTTTTAAATTATAATTTTAAAATATATTCAATTTATTTATATAAAACAAGAAAATAAGAATTATAATTTTTAAGAAACTGATGAAATTCTATATAGC